TTTAATTAAGTTATTGTTAATTGTTATTGGTTTATTGTAAGAGGCTATTGTCGGGACGAACAATACTAAGGAGGGGGCAGTGTTGCGTCAGCGAGGTCACGTGACCAGTGTCACGCCTACGTTTCTAGAACTATCTTGTTCCTTCGTGAATGCCCTAGCATTTACTAGATATATGTTTGTCTGGTATATATAAAAGACGCTCACAACGTGACGACAATGTGTGTGTAGGTAATGAGTAATTGAACTGTAGTCAGAGAGAGACGTGAATTATAGTTTCTTATAGCGCAACTGTTGAAGTTGAGTGTATCGTAAAGTTATATTCGGAAAGAATAAACCAGTTTTATTAAGTAAGGACTTGTGTCGCTAAAGTTTCGTCGGAATGAAGTTACGGAAATTTAATTAACAAACGAAGAAATTTAGAAATTTAACACTTCATTGGAACAAGCAAAATGATTGCCGGTTTTAAACACACCAACCAACTATTGTTATTCAACAACAACAACGAATCGCTTTAATGTATTAGTTCTATCTCCAGGAAGTTTAAGTTATTATTATGTATAGTTATTAGGACTAGCTATAAAACAGTTCTGATTAAAGTATGACATGCATTGTTAGGTGAGTTACATTAATTACTTCCTTTGTCATGTTTACGATTGTTGCTACTTTCCTTTCTAAGTCTTATTACAATTATTATTGAACTGTTTCGAGGCTTATCGCATTTTTGCAGAATATTTAACTTTATTCATTATTTCCTGTTGCTTTTTATTTATTATCTTGTAGCTTCATAAACATTAGTTTTTGGATGTATCTTTGATACAAATGTTCTGCTACTTGATTCCACACATAAACCGTAACATGTGTTGTAGTAATTTATCTTAGATGTCACACTCGTTTAACATTACATTGTTGGAGCTATTTAATGAGCTTTTACAGATCACAAGACGTTTTTAAGGAGGATGGTGTAAAGTTTTACTTATACACAGTTATATTAATGCTACGTATTAAATTTACTACGACATTACTTGAAGCTGACACCTAGTGTTTGTGTGTTTCATGCCGTGTTATTTCTTTATTGTTACTTTCATCAACAGTATTGGTTAAAATATTTGCTGTTAAAATAGGAACAGTTTCATTGTTACATAGGGAAGGGTGTGAAATATATAGGCGGCTTTTCATATAGAAATGATATAAATATTTTAACAAAGGTAACATATAATGTTATATAAGACCTGTAGTAAGTTTAGAGCAAAACAGAAACAGAAATAATAATGATTTTCAGTTATTTCTTATAAATTACGTAATCTAAGAATATATATATCAGAAATGCCATCACGCCCTCTTTTACAAAACACAGTAAACATTCGACATTTACGTACCTCGGATAACAGTTATGGTATTAGATATGTTTTTAAAATGTAAAGAAAATGATAGACTGACGTAATGTTTGAAGTGAAAAGTTATAAAAATAAGGTAATGAAGCATTTATTACAACGTGAGTTATTTAACCTTTATTGTTAAATTTGAGTTTATATGTATACGTTATATTGAAACTTTAGGTTAGGACTATTCTATTTTAATAATCTAAGCCTAACTTTTGTATTCTGAATCTCACAGTTGTGCCTTGGTAAGTTCTGTCTTGTTTTCGTTTGTTCAGCCAAGGTATTTATAGAGTATGATCCCATTTACAGTAAGTAGTCTTCCGTGAGTGTTTTATTTCTACCGGGATTCAAGTAGAAGTAATAAATATGAATGAAGTGAGGTAAATGTTTTCTTGACTTAACTGTCATTATGAATGCTCTTATTATTGTTACTAATGTTGGGCCTGATTCAGTAAAACCTAAAGCTCAAGGATATTTAATCTAGATTACAACAATTTACATTAACTTGTTAAGTACGATTATTACCATTTATGTGTTTTACGTGAATTATAGTAAACGGCAGATCTGTTTTTATTTGCTTGGTAAGGTATTAATAACAGGTCACGAGTCAAACTTTTATTTGTGTGTTATTAGGGATATATAAAGAGTTGACTGATACTATATTACAGTTTGACACTAACTTATTATCACTGATTGTATACCAGGTCAAGCAAAATATAGTATTTCTTGTAAAACCATCTAATAGTAAAACATTAAATTTTCCTTCACTAAAGTTTTAGTTTAGCAGACTATCTTTCTAGCTTTGCCTTAATATACTTTATGTTCCTCAAAGTTCTTCCTGACTACATTCAGTTGTTGGTACATACTGTTTCTAATGTAGTGTGTGACCTTTTGCAAAAGTTAATCATAAATATATGCATCACACTAAAGGCTAACTGTCACTGACCAATACTGTATTATATTCTGATACTCAAACATATGGTCGACCAATGTTGTATATTTATGTTATATAAAGTACAATACGTACCAACAACCAAAGAACTTTGACAAACGTAAGTTATATTAAGATTATGCTAATAAGCTAAGCTTCCAAATTGAAATTATAGTGAATGAAAATGTAGTGTATAGCATAGTTTTACAAGATATACCGCTCTAAGTGTCGGACTGTATTATAGCATCGGTTAGCCTTTAGTGTTACCAAGTGCTGATCAATATTAAGCTGAATATGTAATACGTTGTTGCTAAAAAAAGTAAGTCTAACATATAAATTAGCAAATTGAATTCTATAAATTAAAACGTCTAACCTTCTGTAAAACAAAGTACAACAAAACTAAAACCTGTGATGATTAGAATGTATTAGATTATTAGTTTAATACCTTACTATAAACATTATCTTGGCCATAACCCTAATGACATCTTATGATAGTTACAACATACATGATGGATGTGCACTTACTCTTCAGAAGTCTATATAACACGCACACATGGCTTCACCATGATTGCTCATATTCATAAATATTGTTATTTTACACTAAATAGCAGGGCTTGTGGTGCTATATACAAAAGCATTCATTTCTCAATATTGAAGTCAGGGTTTGAAGCTAACCCATGACAAATGCTTCTCTTATTTTGAGCATACTGGAGCAATTTAGAAATTTTGTCAATAAAGTTTGAAAAGAAAAACAACGACCACTTTTACTTTCTAGATAATAATTAAGCTTTTTATTTTAGCCAGCATTTCACCATTATGGCTTCATCAGGGGTAGTGGTATGACAACTCTTAATGTCATACTCTACAAGAGTTCCTTGTATTACCCATCCTAATGAAGCTGTAGTAGTGAAATGTTGGCTGAATCTTACCGTCATACTCTACAAGAGTTCCTTGTATTACCCATCCTAATGAAGCTGTAGTAGTGAAATGTTGGCTGAATCTTACCGTCATACTCTACAAGAGTTCCTTGTATT